ATTTTTTTGTTTTATAATGTCACCTCCACTGACCGTAAAGGTTCCCGAAAAGACCTCGAAAAAGGCCCATGGACCACCAGTTGATAATCCCAGAGTTAGCTTGTTTTGTGACTCCCGACACATTTTCATGCAAATTGTTGTTTGAGTTGGTGTTTTAAACCTTGTTTTTAGTTTTTTTTGAGTGTTTTCAGTTGTTTTGATTTATGTTATAATTTACTTTTCTTTTGAACATACTGAGTGTATAAAAAAGGGGCAGATATTATAAGATTTATTCTTCTTCTGCTGCCTTTCATTTTATTTGATTTTATTGTGACTGCATGTTTTTCTGTACTTTGATTATTTGTGTTACAAATGAAATGAATAAAGTGAAACATTTTATTCGTGAGACAAGGAGCACAAACGACTCTTTTGATGGTAAAGGTTGCAGAGGCCTGAACCAGAGCGTTCCCAGTCAAAACGCAGTGTGGATGCTGAAGGATTTGAAAACAGCAATTTAGCTGAATTAGCTAAAAACATAAAAAGAGATGCAATTAACAGAAAGCAGTTAAAATAATACTACAAAGCTTAAATTAAAGCCCGGTCACACGATGATATTTTAGACAACTAATGTTGTCCAACGTGCTGGCACACCCTGAAGAAAAGGAGTTAGCTGCTTTTTAGGACGTGATCATAGCGTGTTGCTACAGACTTRAACAGATATTAAACTATGAGTGAATTATCTCTATCCTAAACAYAACATGTACAARCTTATTATAACATGTTTGGGTTTGTGCAGCATGTGTGTGCGACATCAGTGGAAGTTCTGCAGAACCTCTGTGGAGCATGTCAGAAGCAGACACACAGCATGAAAAACTACAGCTCTGCTGGGTTCAGACATAGGAACAACTCACCTGTAACATACTAATGTGAACTGATGCATAAATTATCTGTAGCACAGTTTAACTTCCCTCACTTACCAGTGGCATAAGCTGAGAATTGTGAGCATGTCCAAAATTATTGTCCAAAGAACAGAAGAAAAGGTCAAAATGAAAGTTAAAAACCCAGAATACAGCTAAAATCAACAGAAGCCAAAGAAAGCTGAAATCAGCACAAAGAAGTAATACAAACACAGAACCAAAATAAAAGGTCAGAACAGAATTATGAACATGTTTAAAGGCTTTAAGCAGTTTGAAGACAGATTTATTGATAAGGAGAAAAAAATGGACAAAGAAGTTGATGAAGAACCAAAAGTACAGAAGAAATAAATCATCTCAGTGTGAATATTTGATAAGCATTCACACAATAAATTCAAATTCATACATATAGTACTTTATTGATCCCAAAGGGAAGTTAGAGTTTGGAACAACCCAGTGAAGACAGACGGTAAATACACCACATGGATTTAACCTCTATGTTCTGCAAAGTGTTGAGCATCTTTCTTTTCTATACTTTACAATCCATTTACAGCTCTTTTTATTCTCACACACTACCAAGTGATGACAGTGTGGGGTTCGATGCCTTGCCCAAAGACACTTCAGCGGAGGATCAAACCCCTGGTTCTGAAGCAGTGGCCCAAAGTCACAACTTCTCTATGATTTAGTCACTGTCAAAATAAAAGCACGGTTGTGTGCAGGAACACTAACAGTTAGCTTYATTTGTTGCTGAGGTGGAAGAAACATAAAGTCACACAGTTTAAAACAGAACATGAAGTGCAGATAATGGAGTCCACATCTTGGRCCAAGTCCTACAATAAATAATATTCAGTCTGACTAGGATTAAACACAAGCTGACGACAGACTTGTACTTACAGAGTGTTGCAGTATAGCGTGGGCCATTTCATGTCCAAGGACAATCATGAGCTGGTCAACATCTGCCACAGATTTCAACATCCCTGTAAACATGAACACTTCCCCGTTCTACACAAATAAAACAGTAAATATCTGAGTCA